GATCTCAAAGAGATGGGATCAGACATAAAATCAGAAAACCATTGTACATTTAAGCGAATAACACCAGACTAGGCTATGACCGCTGCATTTAATATTCCTAAAGCATGGAAAGTATTCGTGTGTATTGATCTTTTCTTTAGATCTGTACTTTGCAAGCCTTGTTATGCGTTTCAGATTTCTTGTAGCCCAATGGAGACTGCTGTTCTGTTGTAAAATTTTGGCAGTGAGCCTTTGTTTGTTAATTATATTACGTTAGACTATACTCCATGCTGGTGCGTAAAAAATAATGTAAATTAATCACATCAGTGGCGTTAAACAAGACGGATAGTCTTTACTGCTGCTTAGTTGTTTGTTTATCTGACTTATGTTATCTATCTTAGGTTATGGGACAGAAAGTTGATATCTGCAGTATCATGATATAAAAAATGTTATATTAAAATTTCTAATGTGCCATTCAGTGGAGCAAAGCTTTGATCAATTATAGACCATGGAATATAACCTATATCTTTACACGACGAATCTGTAAAAGCCTCACCTTCTTTATTCCAGAATTCGTTGGAAGAGTCTTTGAATAATGCTGAGCGAGGTGTAGTATAAAATAAAACAAAATAGTCACGATGGCCTGGACAGGAATCGCAGCTTTCAGATTCCGGCAAATTGTTTCCTTCAATTGCTGATACCGAAGTTACATGGCGATATCTTACAGTTATTTTACAGCTATGTTGCGGTGCTGTGAGATTGATGATAGTCATTACACAGAATTGTACAACAGCATCACACGACCCCTTTGCTTTTTGTCATATAGGGGCACCATTTATGCGTGCAACTGCTCCATGGTATTTAAACTCATGCAGTGTATAGGACACAAACATCGCGTCACTGGGTTGGACCGAACAAGGACAAACAAAATTGCCACTTTCCTTCGACAAATAAGCATAAAATAAAACGTTATAATCCTAATGGTCTGAGGTAGTTAACTAAGAATGACTGTTTTCTTGTATGTTCGTGAATGTTTTCATTTTTGGTGGGTTTCATATCTCTTGCCCGCGTCATTGTTTTCGTACAATATAAAAATTGAAGTTTGCCCACTGGAAGTACGCTGATAAGCTTGTAACTTTACTAAATCGGTATTAGTGGAATCTAACGGCGCAGAAACATCATAAATGATAGGCTAGATATTGTTCTAGCCAGCAAAATGACTTGAGATAAATGCATGTGTGGTAGGTCAGTGAAGACGTAACGTGTGTTGTTGGCCCCGTAGCAACTGCGAGTAAGGAGGTGGGCGTCATAATAACTTAAAGCGTGGTTTGGGCTTTACGTTTATTAATATATGTTACGTTTTTTTCATATTCGTACCGCGCAGCGCATGACTGATAGTGGGCGTTTGCTCCGACTGTGATAAGCTATAATCGTACTAACCAAAGTTTACCTTAGCGATCCAGTCCTTCAGTTGAACTTCATTTGGCAGTGGCTATTATTGGGGAAAAAAGTAGCCTGACATATGGGGAGAATATTCTGAATGACGTTGTATTTTAGTTGCGGCTGGTGACGGATCAGCCAACGCTTTCAGTTTTTCTGTAAATATCATATGGCTCAGTTCGCACTGTTAAACACAGTCAGAGGTAACCACCCGTTTTATGTTAGTAATACATGCATATTCTACCGTGTGTAATGCACGATGGCACTGCCTTCTGTTTGGATTGCGTGGGATGTTGTTGAACATATGCAAGACCAAGTTCCGACTTGGTTGTAGATCTCACACTCGCATTTTGCTGATTGATTTTTTGTTGGGACGAATCTGTCAGTAGTAGATCATGGTCCTTCCTGTCCGTTTAGATTACGTGACCTGCTGTCACTTTAGACTGATCGGTCAGCAGTGTTTACTCCGCATTGTATGGAATGGAAAAGACACCTGCTGAAAGCTATGCTTGCTGTGTCGTAAATTTTAAGCTGGCACGCATCCATCGAAGGATGATGAGGAATATATCTTAAACTTAAATTTATGTAGATTCCATGTAGATGATGATTGATTGTTGTCGTGTTGATCGATTCAATGATTGGCTTGGCAGCACCTTGTTAACGGAAGAAAGTTATTTGTTATTTCGATATATATCTATATTCGTTATATATATATATCTCGATGTTGTAATAAATGATAGTATTTCTTTAACGTCATGAATGGAATCGTGCAACGCAACGAAATGGCTGTAATAATGGGCGCGCAGCTCCATCACACCAGGATCATGTAATAATAATGCCACACTTTGCTTCTAGACTCCTAGAGGGTCATTTAAGCAGGCAGCAGCGTCATCTTATTGAAACGTTTATATACTTATATACAGTTGTAACCTGCCTTAATGGTTCCCTAGACGCAAATGAACAAAGGAGTGTTGCAGTAGTCAGCGATCCCCGTAATTAAACGTTATGCGCTTATTAACATACTTTCAGTACACCAACCCATATTCTTTATAGTTATGCGCATTACATACTCTTGTTTGCTGCGCCGTATAATAAGTTTGACTTTAGTTCGAATCCGGCCCTCACGAAATGGTATCCGATATGCTGATCGACGAGTTTTTGCACGGTGGTTCTGAAAATTACGTAAGATGAAGTATACCCATTCCTGATGCACCAAGTTAAACAGCATTTCAGTTCGAAACTCGCCTGAACTATATGGACATTCTATCGAAGCTGCGGGACCGGCCACCGGTGTTTTGGTTGACGTTACTGAAAGAATACTTGTTTGAACAACCGTACGTCTGCGTGAGTGATTGATATGTTATTTCTCTTTAGTACTTCTTGTACTGTCGTTTTTATTGCATGCTTTTTCGTGCGATGATGATCATGCTGAAAACGCGACAATAACGCGGCATATATTTACACAAAGCCAAATATTTGTCCATCAGCATTATAAGTTGGTACTGGAGTCTCGAATAAGCTTCGTTTCTTTGACCTGGTAGTTCGGTCAGTTGAGAGTCCAAATCGCGGGTTCAAATCCGGATCGATTTCAGTTTCTTTCGTCTTCCACCCGGATTGAATACTAACTCTTCAATTCTTTCGATGCCATGCCAGTTGTAGCGATACCTTCCTGTCTTGCGGTAGATCTTTCTCTTGGCCGTCTGTAATCAGGCTTTGCGTTCAATATCCGTCCCAAAGCGGCTATCATTAATTTGCTGGCAATTACCCCTGTCTTAGACGACCTATATGCATTCAATCGGTCACTTATTTGGATATTCTGCTCTGTCATACAACAGCATTTGACATCAAGTCATACCACTTTACTCCTAATATTAATTTCAAAATTTTCATTTCTCTCACTTTCAGTTTTCTGTTTTTAGTTTTTTGTTTTCTTTGTTAAACGCTGCAGTTTTCAAGTCATTGAAAATGTTAAAATTGCAATCCCTATATTTGCGCAACTTGATACTATTGCCAACATTTTTGTCCTTCCAGAGCCTGAAAAAATTGTTGCTCTCTGCGAATGCTAATGTAGAGCGCCTCTTAACTTTGTTTGTCGCTCACCTTACTGCAGCCAATGTACTTCCATTATACAGATGTTCTTGTACCTTTTCTACAACTACACTGTCAATCGCAGACAGTCTTCGGTCTAGTTTCTACCAATTTTCAGCCACTTCGTCGTCCTTAATTTTATCGAGACCCGGGTGAGAACACTTCTGTTTCAGAGTTAGAAACAGTGACGTCGCAACCTCGAAGTTGTCTGCTAACAGTATATCATTCACAGAAGTGTTACGCAGATGTTGACTACTTTTGCCGCTGTAGTTTCACTGCTTTATATTGGTTGGAGCATCCAGTCAAGAAACATGGCAAATAGGAGTGTTCACTCCTCCGTGCTTTACTCCAAACTAATTTCCCTTATACAAAAGAATCTTCCAAAAATGTCACTAACTGGTACTCAGCTTGACGAATTACTATACATGTTTTCAGTTAATGCTAATAACCTTTCGTGGGATTTAATATTTTTCACCAACTTTCTGAGAAGGTATCTTCCTAGATTGAATCAGTGACTTTGGTGAAATCGGCGAATATTGCAAAAAACCTGGATTCCAATTCTCTGTTCTCGCCCGTCGTTTGTCTCATCTAAACCAAACATTATCGGCCTATGCTGAATCCAGACCGCGCTCTAGAATTTCTCTATATGGTATTTAATCCTGTTCACCGTAGCAGGCGTGATACCTATGGCACAACTCTTTAGCGGATAGTGAATTTACTGTTGATTCCGAAGTAGTTATTTGAATCAGAGCAACAGCCTTTCTTGAGTATTGGGACTACAATGTCTTTAATCCAGTCATTCGGTTTCTCCTCTTTCTGCCATACCACTCCAAATACCATACTGCCATACCACTCTTTCTGCCATATCACTTCACTAATGCCAACACTTCGTTTATTCGAGACTCGTTAATTAGTTCTGATTGTATTCCATCAATTTCTGCAGCTCTCCAATTTTTCACTTGGCTTAGGGCTTCTGTCACTTTTTGAAGATCAGAGGACCAGTATCAACATCCATCTTTTTCAGGTATTATATCGTAAAATGAACCTTGTTTTACAATCACATCAGGATTTAGTAGCATTTCAAAGTGTTTTCTTCATCTCAATGACTGTTGCAGGATTAGACGTTATGTTACTGTCCTCTTTCGTAATAGACGCTATTTGAGGCTTCGTGACTGCGAAAGTGTAGCCATGTGTTTTACGAACAAAATCTAGAAAATATCAACATGTAAATTTCTTTATTTTTATTTTCCATTACCGCTTTTCCTTTCAGGTTGCGGAAGTAGACGAGTCAGGCAGTGCTTCCAACTTTCCTGATCCTGTGCCAGAGTTTGAGCTTCACCGGAAGACAGCTGGAGTCTGGAACAGACTCCTTCCATATATTTGCACCAGGTTAATCTTGGCCGTCCTCTGAGCCTTCTGCCGGTCAGTTTCACAAGAAACAGTTGCTTAGCCCTCATTTCTGGAGGCATTCCCAACACATGGCCAAACCATCGCAGCTGTGACTTCTCAATCTGAGAAACAAAGACTGTACACCAAAGCTCTCGTGGGTGTCTGGACATGTCGAGATGCGTAAGGCCAGCGACTCGTCTAAGAAAGCCCATTTCAGCAGCTTGTGGTACCCAGGTTCGAAGCTTCTAAATCATCGTCCAAGACTCATGACCGTGGGTATTCATCGGAATAAAGATCGACGTGAACACCGGGAGCTTAGTTTTCAGACTGAGCTCTGCTTTAGTGTCATATTGGATTGGGCTAGTTTACGCAGAACGCAATTGGCTGTTCCACTTCGCCGGTCCATCTTTTCCTCAAATTTTCCATCTGTAGTTAATACGACTCCGGAGTACTTAAACTTCTCCACCTGCTCCACTGCCTCTCCGTTAATTTGAAGAGAGCATCGGGCAGGGCAGTGAGAAAGCACTAGGCTTTTCGATTTAGATGCGTTCGCACGCATGCCGCCAACGTCGAACTCGGCAGAGAACCTTTGCAGGGAGCATTGTAGATCAGTTTTAAAAGATGCCAATAAAACAAAGTCGTCTGCAAACAGCAACCTTCTCATATTCACATCTCCTACACCGATACGCTCATCGCCTTGACTGCTCCTGACTATTCTGTCCATGTACAGCACAAACAGGAGAGGGGACAGAATGCAACCTTGGCGGAGAGCAGTGCGAACGTTGAAGGATGTCGACTTAATGCCATTTACTCTGACGAAGCACTTGCTATCAGAATGCAGTGACTGGATGACCTTTAGCAGTTCACCATCTATCCTGTGTGCTCGAAGGTATGACCACAGACTGTTGCGTGGGATCCGGTCATAGACTCTTTTTAGGTCAATAAAACATGTACACCGGAGTGCGTACTCCCACGATTTCTCATCAATCTGGCGCAGGGCAAATACATGATCAGAGCTGCTTCGACCGGGCCGAAAGCCACATTGCTCTTCTTGTATC